CAACGACTCTCCAAACCACGTCCAAAGAGAACAACCCGCATGTTAAATACGTGGGACTCTCCACCTTTTGTTTTCAGGACTGAAAAGCCTCACAAACCTCAAGAAGTCCAGGAACTTTTTCAAGATTTACAGAGTTGTTGAAGATGAGCAGAGGCATTTTTAACCTCTAATTTTGGCATTAAGGAGCCTTAAATTATTAACTATTTAAGGTGAAAGAGCTTTATTTAATGCATTTATGATTATCTCACTGTATTCTGGGTATTTTGTGAACATTTGATCTGTTGGAGTGTCTCATTAACTGAGGAAGTGAAGCATTTACTTATTTATGTTAGGCTCCAGTGTGTAGCTCAGTTTGTGTTCTTGCCCATTCATGTCTCTTGCTCTGCTTCTTCCTGTTTAAGTTAAACAAAACATCTTCCTGTCTTGTCTTTTTTCCTCCAGAATTCACTGGACTCTGTCCCCACCCTGGAGGAGAGCTCAGGAATGGACCTGGATGCAGAGTCTGTCACCGATGCAAAGAACAACTTAAACACTGCCAGGTGAGCTGTTTACTTCACAAACACCAGCTGCCTGGATTTACCCTCAGAGTTTAGTTTCGATACAAAGCAAACGAGAGGCAGCGGCGTTGCTGTGCTGATCAGACACTTGCCTTCTGCAAATTGTTTTGACACGCCGTTTCAACCAGAGCTCACATTTTATGCTGCATCTGAAACGCATCTTTATCTCAGTCTCTCTCACTCCCAACACTTATTCACTTATGCTTCCTTCTTGTGTACCTTTACATGTCATATGATGATATTACACCCCCAGCTTGTTGTTAACAGCTGTAGTGAGTACACCACCATCAATGTGGCATGCAGTGTTAAAACTGACAAATGCTGTTTCACTCCTATTTATTTAAAACAGGCAAAATACTGACTACACAAAGCACTGATTTTGGTTACAGCTTTGTGAGTTTTTTTCCTCGTCGAATTCTTCTTCTTCTTTGTTGTGTGACTGTGGTGTGACTCTTCGTCAGCTGTTATCCAGGCAAGGTTTCAGGAAGACCAAATATGGTGACAGCGATATGATTGGACAGCTTTTATAAAAGTACACTTATCCAGATGAGTCTGTACAGGGCTACCATATTAGTACTTCTTGTTATTGGACCAAAGAGTACTGAAAACGTACATCCCCTGGTGGAGTGTTAATGTGTTTATCTCCTTTATGGTTTCATTTTGAGTGTTTATCTAATTTTATTTAATTCTAATCTTCATTTTCAGGCAGGACAATCAGCCTCTTGTGACGATGGAGCACACTGTCACCATAAGCTGTGTAAGTGACAGGATGTGGAAATGTACACCTTTCATAGACTGTATATAAACAATGGCTATAGCCATGGTTATTAGGGGTGCAACGATACACAAAATTCACGGTTCGGTTC